AAAGCGGTTCCCTTAGAAACAAAATGATCGAAAACACTTAAGAATGGTAGTTTAGGTCTCTCCAGTATTGCTTTCAGCGGTGGAAGTGATATCAGTGCATTGGAGAACGTTTTTTGTTTGATTGAGTGAATTTTTTCTCAAGAAGTTTCATAACGAATACAATAATCCAGACCTTTTCATGGTTCGAGAAAAAAGTTAAAAAATCGGTTAGTTAAAAACATTTGAAATAAGGTAACCGGAAAATATACCGATGGAAATGCGATGTGTTCTTCAATCAAATCATTCCTTCTGATTGTGCCGCTAATCTCTGTTAATACACGCTTGCATAAGCCCAGTGTAAGTCCTTCTATGCTAGGATAATAAACACTCGAACGTAATATATATTGATTCTACTTCGACCCTGTTCGTCATATTGTGGAGCATCATACGATTTGCTCATGAATAAACAACCGTTAAGCGATCGTTCGGTCCTCACAGTAACCCGTTTCATCCGACGTGGATACTCAAATTGACGTTCGTTTTCTAATGAGAATTGTGTGTGTGTATCTGTGTTTATTCGGTCTGGATTTTAATATGCAACTTATTCCTGAATGATTTTTTGCTTGAATTTGACTTTCTTTCCCCATCGACAGACATCCGTCAGTGTGCTCACTGTACACGTCTTATCGCACAATGTGCTCATCTTGTCCCTGGTAGTCACACTGAAACTGGAAATTTGAGCACCGCGGCTGATTACACTCGGTGTTGCAGTTGCCCTTGTGGATCATCTGGTAATCGGTCGGCCAACAATAATGTACTCGGTTCTCGTCAATGGAGCTGGCCCTCAGGACCTGGAGCTGGTCGAACAGGTGGGCCCTTTCCATGTCCCGGACGTGTTGTCCTCTGTCTGTGGCGTATTCTAATGTCTGAGGTAAGTGTTATGTCTTGCCATGATGTATGATCGATATGAGCACCTCTTGACTAGCCCCCAACAATGGGGCAGAGAACACGGCTGAGAAAACGACAGTCAGAGTATATTATTGATCATAAAGCAATACGCAAATATAGATGGTAAATTAGGCGTACGAGAAACGACGCGATGACGCACCAACCAGGTTGCGACCTTGATACTCGGACTGGTCGATCGGACGACAGTTGTCTGATTCGCCTTAGCAATCCGATCCGGAATCGAATTGGCTCGGGTGTCACGAACGCACTTGTGGTGTGACGCGGGTCGGTGCGTGGCCTGACGGTTTCTGTGCCCTCCATCCCAACAGTAAGTGTGCAGTGGAAGGGAAAGATCGACATCTGTCACTCACTCGTTTGAGGAGGCAAAAAACAATCCCATAGCACTGTGTCGTTCCGATTTTGACGCAATTCCGTATGAATGCGCTCTGCCGGCGTGGTCCAACTAGAAGAGTGCTTTCTATTTACTGTTTCACGTACTTCCACTTGCTGGGGGCGGGAAGTGAATCAGATTAACGGAAGGCACCGTGGGCGTAACATTACAGGTAGCATCCCTCCATGTTTTGGTCTTCACTGAGCATCCAGTTCGAACCTTTGGTCTTGCGATGCTACTTCTCAGTGGACAGTAGCCCTGACACTCAGCAATCAGATTAATCCAAGTTAATAGTTTCTGAAACAATAAAAAAATGTTTCATCGAAATGGTTCATGTATATCAGAACCTTCCACACCCGTCAAAAAGAGATTGTCGCTGCATTTTATTGTTTTTTTGTTTTGTTTACAGATCAGTTTGTTTGAATACAGCTTGGAAACGGTCGTTCGGCGACTTCTGAAAGAGATGGTTCCACGGTTTTCGGGAGCCCAATTACACTCGTGGTTCTGTGAAAACAACGGTTCAGAACGGTATGCAAAATAAAAAACAGGTTTTAACACAATTCTCTTTGCATAAAAACAGTAAAAGTTAATCCCGTCTAACCGTTCCGTTCGGATTGGCTCATTCTTCTGTTACCTTCTTTTTCATATCACTGTGATCTGCAGTGTATGCGCTAAACCCGTTAAATCCCCTGTGTTCCCTGTTCGGTATTGCGAGCCGGCTACCGCCTCCGTAAGTCTCAGTATGGTCGGGGTGGTGTGTGGAATTGTGACTGGTCACCGTTCCCTTACACCCCGCGAAATGCTCTTATATGACCAAGCGTCTCAAATAGCCTCTTCTGAGGCAGCCCTACTCATTGCCCTCTCACGGCAGAGGTTTTTTCTCAGAAAAGTGAGAGGATGAAACGCTGACATCCGGGGCTATGACCGGGTTGGTGAACCATAGGCGGTTCACCTAGGGGAGATGGCTAAAAACTCCGATTCCAAACCAACCATGTAGAGGCGTACAAACCACACTTTTCCGGTTTTGGCAATGGTCACCAACTCGATTGGGCATCGAGGTGTACTGGGCACCTTGGACGTTTGACCCTGTCGGAAGTGCGTATGATCCGATGAAATGGACACCGGCCCCTGATGGACTGCGGACTCTAAGCTCCTTCCTGTTCTCTTGCAGGTTTGTTTCGCTAGCCACACGCTTCAAGTGGGGACCCCGAGGTTATCCACCTTCCTCGACCGTCTCTGTTTGAAATCAAGAACTGTTGAAGTTTCATACGCGTGGATATAGAAGCATCATCATCATCATCATCGTACAACGTGATACAGTGAAGCTAACTCCACTGATCACTGCCAAACTCATAATGCATACAAGATAAGTGAGAATGTGCAAGGAGGACAGGGATTGGGCCTGTTTTTAGGGACGGGAAAAGAAAGCGAACCTCTATGGTCAACACACAGAATACACAGTTCAATTGTGCATACATAATAGTTTAGACATTCTGGACTGATAAGAAGTGACAGCATGATCGCCATTGCTGTCGGTTCGCAGCCATGACCTTCAGTGTCTCCAACCATGCGGTTTCGGAGTCTTTTGGATCCCAACCCGGAAGACGAGAGACACCTACTCTACCTAATCGCTCTGTGCATTTCTTCCTGCTTCGTCTCCACGTAATCTGCTGGCCTCCACGTGGCTTTCTGCAGCCTGTAACGGTCACTGCAAACAAGGCGCGCTGCGGTAGGCGACCGTCGGACATGCGCAAAACGTGTCCTAACCAACGAAGCCTACTGAGCTGGGTTCGATAAGATAGCGAGTTCTTGTTTGAGGTATTCCCAAACACCCGACGACTTCTAAGTTACTAACCCTCTCACTCCATCCCACTTGGGCCAGACTACGTAAGCATCGATTGTCGAACACTGCGTAACAACGGGTGTCTTCTATCCGCAAATTCAAGGTCTCAAAACCGTAAAGCAGAACTGATCGTACAGTGGCAAAGTATAAACGACTTTTCAACTTTAGTGACACATGACATCGCCGTCATAGGTGTTTTAGTCCTGCGTACACTGCTCGAGCCTTGGGAATGCGGGCGGTTATCTTCTTCGGTGCGCTACCGTCGTTGGTCACGCAGCTACCTAAGTAAGAGAAACCAATTCCTGACCGTCTAGTTTCAAAACAGAACTCGGTGACACCCAGTCTTGTAGCATCACTGCACTTTGAAGGTGCAAAGCACGTGCCGAACGGAGCGATAGAACTTGCTAATCTGTCAAGTGCTCTTTGTGTATCCTTCATGCACTCGAACAAGCGAACGATGTCGTCAGCGTACTCCATAACGCACAGCTTTTCACCAGCTGCCCGTTCAATGCCTACATTTTTGAAACCACTTAATGCGTTCTCCAGTATTTCGTCTATGACGAATTGGCGAAAGAAGGTACCCTTGACGAACACCGCTGCTAGTTACGAAGGACCTACTCAACACGCTGTAGACCCTTACGCTACCAGAAGTATGTGAGTAGAGTGAACTCAGTATATTCACATACTTCTGNAGCGTACTCCAAATCGCACAGCTTTTCTCCAGCTGCCCACTCAATACCTAATTTTGGAGACCACTAAGTGTGTTCTCCAGTATTTCGTCTATGACGAAATTGAACAGGAATGGCGAAACAGGGCACCCTTCACGAACACCGCTGCTAGCTACGAACGATCTACTCAGCTCGCCGCAGACCCTTACGCTACCAGAAGTATGTGAGTAGAGTGAACTCAGTATATTCACATACTTCTGCGACATTCCTGTGCGAAGGAGTGAACCCATAAGGTATTCACGATCAACTGAGTCGAAGGCTCCTTTTAGGTCAAGAAACACGACAACCGTTGGACGACGGTGCGTATGGCGTAGCTCAAGGACTTGATGCAGGGTGAAGATTTGATCGATACAACCGCGA